ATTTTATAAATAAAAAGGACGGGGGAACACATATGACGTTTTTTTAAACGAAATTTTCTAGCGCGACCTGCCTGCTTCACTTAAGTCACTGCTTATTAAGGTCCGTCCAGAATTACCGTGGGAAACGGGTAATAATGGCTCTTTGATGGGAATAGGTTGCCGACCCCTGGAGCTGGTAAAACAAAAATCCTCATCAGCAGGCGTTTTTGAAAGTGGGGGGGACACAGCTGCCAATCACAAATTTTGCCGGGGACATGTCCCCGGCGTCCCCGGTTAAAATGACACCTATGCCTCCCACCATCCGACTATAGCCTCAGTTGACGTCAGCAGCTCCCCATCCCCACTGTAAACAGTGTGAGTGAGTTGCTGCCTTCCTCTCCTGAGGCACCAGACAGTTTGCCAGAACCTCTTTGGAGCCGATCGATAGACTTTCTCCATGGCCTCACCAAACTCCTCCCACGCCTGAGATTTTGCCTCGGCAACTGCCACTGCTGCACCTCGCTTGGCTATCCGGTACCTGTCTGCTGCCTCCGGAGACCCACAGACCAGCCACTTCCTGTAGGCCTCCTTCTTCAGCCTGACGGCTCCCCGAACCTCTGGTGTCCACCAGCGGGTACGGGGGTTGCCACCACGACTGGCACCGGCCACCTTGCGACCACAGCTAGCAACAGCCGCCTCAACAATCGCAGAGTGGAACAAGGCCCACTCGGAGTCGATGTCCCCCACTACTCTCAGGACGTGGTCAAAGCTCTGCCGGTGGTGGGAGTTGAAGACTGTCTTAACAGGTTCTTCTGCCAGGCGTTCCCAGCAGACCCTCACTATGCGTTTGGGTCTGTCAGGTCTACGCGGCAACTTCCCCTGCCATCTGATCCATCTCACCACCAGGTGGTGATCAGTTGACAGCTTCGCTCCTCTCTTCACTTGGGTGTCCAAAACATACGGCCGCAGGTCAGATGATACGACTACAAAGTCTATCATTGACCTGCAACCTTGGCTACCCTGGTACCAAGTGTACCGATGGGCATCCTTATGCTCGAACATGGTGTTCGTTATGGCCAAACTGCAGCTTGCACAGAAGTCCAATAACGAAACACCACTCGAGTTCATATCAGGCGGGCCGTTCCTCCCAATCACACCCCTCCAGGTCAAGCTGTCATTGCCCACGTGAGCATTGAAGTCCCTCAGCAGGACTATGGAGTCCCCTGATGGAGTACTATTTAGCACTCGTCCCAGGGACTCCAAAAAGGGTGGGTACTCTGAACTGATATTTGGCCCATGAGCTCAAACCGCAGTCAGGACCCGTTCCCCGACCCGAAGGCGCAGGGAAGCTACCCTCTCGTCCCCCGGGGTAAACCCCAACACACAGGAAGAGAGTCTTGGGGCTAACAAAAAGCCAACCCCAGCCCTCCGCCTCTCACCTGGAGCAACTCCAGCAAAGGAGAGTGTCCAACCCCTCTCAAGGACTTGGGTTCCAGAGCCAATGCTATGTGTCGAGGTGAGTCCGACTATATCTAGCCGGTACCGCTCAACCTCTGCCACAAGCTCCTGCTCCTTCCCCGCCAGCAAGGTGACGTTCCATGTCCCAAAAACCAGTTTTCTTGTCCGGGGATCGGACCGCCAAGGCTCCTGCCTTGGTCTGCCACCCGAGCCACATTGCACCTGACCCTTCATGTTCCTCCTGCGGGTGGTGGGTCCACAGTTGGATGAGCCCATGTATCCGGTTCGGGCTGGGCCCGGCCGGACCCCATGGGCAAAAGCCCGGTCACCAGGCGCTCGTTCACGGGCCCCAACCCCAGGCCTGGCTCCAGGGTAGGACCCCGGTAACCCTCCGGGCCGGGTACTCCAACTCTTTGACTTTACCTCCATGAAAGATCCTGTGAACTGTTCTTTGTCTCACCCTTCACCTAAGACCAATTTGTCATGGGAGACCCTACCAGGGGCACAAAGTGTCCCAGACAACATAGCTCCTAGGATCATTAGGGCACTCAAATTCCTCCACCACGATAAGGTGACCGTTCAAGGAGGTATAAAAATAACTAAGCAATTACTAAGCACAACAAAATTAGGTTTTTCACATGTTTAAAACTCTTGATTGATTTTGTTGAATCTAAGATGATGTATGTAATGACTGTATTGTTATTAACTGTTGATATTTTTGACTATTGATTTCTTGTAATGAGTTAATGGGTAGGCTTAAATAAGTTTAACTTCATCCTATACCATTTTGGTCATAAATGAATTTAATACTTATTTTCCACCCTGATTTACAAATAAATTCTTTAAATATCCTGCCAGGTGAATTCATGGATTTTTTTTCACATTCTGTCTCTCACAGTTGAAGTGTACCTATGATGAAAATTACTGACCTCTGTCATCATTTTAAGAGGGAGAACTTGTACAATCGGTGGCTGACTAAATACTTTTTTGCCCCACTGTAACCCTGTCGGCGTCTCAGTGTTTTGATGGTCCATTGTCTTGTGTCCGCCTTGTTTTGTCTCCCCCCGTGAAACAGTAGGTTTGTGCTCCTAAGTGAGCTTTTGTATTTTGGTTTTCTGAGTTTAGTTTTCAGGCTTAGCATCCTGCGCCATTGTAGAGTTTTTGCTGCATCCAAAATCAAAGGACTTTAACTTTTACAACCGCTCCTGCCTCGAGTCATTCTGGGTGTTCTGCATCTTGGGTCCCAACCCCCCTTGCTCTCAACATGACACTCAGTGTTGGATCTCCCTAAACTACTTATCAGGAAGCTTTTGGAGCTTAAAGTAAAACCCATGTGTAATGACGTGGTTTTCATCTATGCTATCGGATAGGAAGTCAAGGTAAATGGCGTCCTTTCAAGATCAAAATCCTATGGATGCCACAAGGGGCAAGGAGCTCTTTATACTACACCCCAGAACAGAAGAATGTGTTTCTCAGAAGATAATTGTTTGAATGCTGGTAAGCATTGAAACTATTGTTTTTCCTGTTTTCCCCCACTCTAACTTGAAAATTCCCTACTCTGTTTTGAACTTCACATCTTCTGTGAACAACTCTTTACTACTCCCACACCGTTTGGACTACCAAAACAAATTATAACTAAAAAAAAGTAGGAATTTTTGTCAGCTTTTCAGAATGGGTTTCATTTTCTCTGTAAGTGTTACCGTTCTTTCGCTACAAGCCTCAGAAAGAGGAGAGATCCAGATTCTGCCTCATTGAAACCCATGTTAAAGGAACAGAGATTTTCTCCTCTGATCGGCTTCACACAGCTAAAAGTTTCTCGTCATAGCTTCTAGACAATTTATGGTAGGCACATCAAAATCAGCAAAGATGATCATCAAAGCCTTCTGCCACTTACACTTTTTGAATTTTTCAAATCGGTGCTGTACTTTTCGAATGGTGATGAGAAGTTTGACAGGTCCAATTTCATTTCTGAAGGACAGATTTAAAGGCTTCTCTCATTAACAGGGGTACAGCTGCAGGTCTAAAAATAGCTGGGGGGGGGGGGGAGGCAGTGCTGCTCTCTGATTGGTTGAGAGCGTTCAACCATTTTCTGTCCAATCAGGATCCAGCACCCACACAAATGATGCATCAAATCGACCAGTTTGGTCTCATGAATCTTGTATTCAATTTTAAATGCGTTATCTGTTACCATGGCAACACAAGGAACTACAAATCACTTTAACCAAGTCTCATAGGAATGAATATAAAAAGCTGAATATTGAGCCATTAACAGACTCCTGTTTTTGATCTTTTTGAACAGTTTATACTTAAAACTAGAAATAAGTTCAATTTGATTGACCGTCAGAAGGTGGGAAAGTGCCCCGCTCCCTCCCAGCTCCCTGATTGGTTGAGTGAGGTCAATCATCTTCTGGCTAAATGGAATTACACACCCACACATGTGAGACATCAAACTGATCGACTTGGCCTAAGGAATCCATCCATCTACATATAAATCCATACATGCTTCTATCCATCCATCCATCCATCCATCCATCCATCCAATAAACCATCTAACATCCATCCAACAATCCACCCATTTTTTCATTCATCCAACCATTCATCCATCCCATATCAAATCTAAACATATGTTAATCTATCAGTTTCAGATATCAGCCAATATTTCTAAATTCACAGTTCAGCCAATTGTAAAAATGTACCTGTTAAACTATTCTCATTCAAATGCCAGCTGTTTAACATTTCAAATTTTGAGTTTTTAATAAATGTTCAAAGATTAAAGTTTTCTGTTGTTTAGTATTTTTTATCCATTATTCTCCTATATTCTGAGCTTTATTACACTTGTTGGTGATTTTTGCTTCTAAATTTTTAAATACATTCAGCTCATTTTGACAGTTTTGCTTTGTTTCAGCTTCAGTTCAGCTGTTCAGCAGCTTCAGCTTACAGTTTCAGCTATCCAGCATTCAAACAGCATTTGTGCAACAAATGCAATTTTTCTAGTTATTGTTAGTCTTCTGTCAGTGAATACTTCAGCTGTTTACTTTGATCAGGTGAACAATTTTAGGGATAGGTGTGAAGGACATTTAATATAGATAAAAACTAGAGATTATTTTTGGCCCAAGAGAGTTAGTTGAGCACATCCTACTGCTTAATAATAAACTAATTGAATTGGTAAACTCCATTAAGTATTTGGGAATTTATATTGACAACCAGTTCAAACAGAGTGACCATGTGAAGCATCTGTGGGAAATTGGTCCAAAGGTTTCCATTCATGGATGAATCAGGATCCAGTTACTAAGAATGAGATGTTCACAATGATTTCCCAGGATTCAAAGATTAAAAGGATTAATTCTGTACTGACAAACCATTTAATGTATCGGTTGCCATCATGTGAAGAAAAACATTTCACACAGTAGCTTTAAATAACAGAAGTTCGCAGGGTCACCTCTTTCACCTGCTTACCAGGAAAGTACATGAAAGCTGGCAGTTTTTAGTTTGGTCAATGTGGGAAGAGACGGCCTGTTTTCAAGGTAACGTGCTTCTTATCATGAAGCATGCAGATATGCTGTGGCATATAAACGTGTTTCACAGAGACCAGAAGTTAGAGGTGCTGTTCAAGCTGACCACATGGCTTCCTTCAAGTTCTTCAGTTTACTGGTGGTCTTGGTGGTCTCCACCAGCTGCTGGGCCGAGGAGGAGAAAGTGAGTAGCAATAATAAAGTACATTTCTGCTTCGATGGTAAGCATTTTTACCTTTCAGTATCTTCTGTGACGTTGTCCCTCTGATGTTGTGTTTTTGACAGGAACTGTCTGTGTCAGAGCTCCTGTGGAGGGCCAACAAGGATGTCGGTAAGACTGTTTCCAGTGTGTTGCAGCTTCGTCCTGACAGACATTTATGTATTTAAATGTGAGGAAATGCCTGACTGAGCCTGGAACGTTCCTTAACAGTGCACACAAAGGACGAGCCCTTAGTCTTGGATGACATTGCTTATGACAGTGAAGGCGAGAGGAACGCTGACCAGTGCACTTCCAGAGGTTGCATGTGGCCCAAATCTGCAGATGGAAAAGTCTACGTGCCGTACATCATCTCCAACCATTACAGTAAGGAACTGAATTTCAGTTCACCCGTATGAAGGCTTCTGAGTTATCGATGTGCCCAACCCTCTCAAAGAGTTATCTCTGATAAACCATCTAAGTCCAATTCACTGACTGAATGTGGAATCTGGGCTAAAATTGGGAAAAACAAAGACATCCAATAAACTTCTGGTCCTGGACTATAATATGAAGATGAATACTGTTTTGTGTCTCTGCAGCGTCTCGTGAGCTGTCCATCATTGAGCGAGGCCTGCAGTCTTTCAACGATTTCTCCTGTATTCGTTTTATCAAACGCACCAATCAGAGAGACTATTTGACCATCCAGTCTGTCAATGGGTAAGTGTGTGTGTGTGTGTGTGTGTGTGTGTGTGTGTGTGTGTGTGTGTGTGTGTGTGTGTGTGTGTGTGTGTGTTACGTCATTAGAGCTTCTCCTGGTACATTCATCTTTGTCAGGACTGACCACAGGCTGGTGCTAACGTGTCGGAGGTTTCACTTAAGTTGATGTTTGGGTTAAACTACGCCGATGAGCTATACTAGTGAGGATACAAATTCTAATGTGTGTGAGATGTTTTAAATTTTTCAGCATCAATATCTTCAAACTGTACTTGTGCAAGTTGAAATGGATTATTTGTAAGTTGAACTAAACATTTAGTTGTCTATCAGACTTCCTTTTCAATATTAAGATTTAAAAACAACGTACCAGCAAATTTTACACAGTGATCGTTTTTAAAATGACCTAAAATTAAATAATAATATATACACACACACACAGGTTCACAGTGACACTGTGACATCATAATGTACCAGCTAACATCATAGCGTACCTCTTAGCCAATAGCGATGGCAGATTTAAATTCAAATGCAGTGCAGTTTTTACCTGAAGAGGGCGCAACACTGACAGTTTTAGGCAAAGTATTTACATTTTAACGAAGATGCACTAAAGTGCCACATGACTGAATACACGTGTCAGCTGAATGATTAGACACTAGTTTATAGAGTGTATCAGCAATGATACTGATGGTTGATAACAGAGAAGACAGTAAAAACGTTGTTGGAGACTCTTTCACCTAAATGAAAATGTTCCTTCTGAGTGTGCACGTGTAGTTAATCTGGTGCTCTCATTTCACACACAGCTGCTACTCCTATGTTGGTCGCCGTGGTTCAGCCCAGACAGTCTCACTGGACCGTCAGGGTTGCATTTACCACAGCACTGTCCAGCACGAGCTGCTGCACGCCCTGGGCTTCAACCACGAGCAGTGCCGCTCCGACAGAGACCAGCACATCCGGGTTCTGTGGCAGAACATCCAGTCTGGTGAGTCCACGTCTGAGCCCTAAAACACATTAGCTTCATGATATGTTTTGCATTTTAAATCAGATACATTTTTTAACCTTAAAAAATCTGATTCAATGAATTTTAATCAGACAGTTTTTTTTCCAAAAGACTGATCTATTTGTAGACCAAATAAAACAATGACATAGTTTTATTAGTTGTATAGACAATAATACAACAGCCATAGGAATATAATTGGCACACCACTCTTGCAGTACTTAGCTTCTCCACAAGGAGGCAGAAGATATGTACATAATTCAATAGAACAGAGGGTTGATGAAAGTACTGATGCTGTTAAAGAGTCAGAAGTGTGGAGCCGATGTGGTACGTTTGATATTAAAGGGTTAAGAAATGAACTAATCTCAGCCCATGATTTCAGTCTCTGTCTCTCATCCAGTAAAGTCTAAAGTATGATTGATAAACAGAGAGCAGTCACTCCTGAGTCACGCTCTGTTAATATTTTTGTTTGTTCCTCAGGCTTGGCTTATGCTTTTGACAAGCTCAACACTCTCAACTTGAACACGCCCTACGACTACAACTCTGTCATGCAGTACCACAGGTTGGGAGTGTGTGTGTATGTTTGGAGCTCAATATAAAATGTCATCCATGTCTGATATTTAAGCATTGAACCCTAAAACAGCTAGGTATGCTTTGACTCGCTTCAGCCAACAGCACTGGCTGGATTGACAGGGTCCTGACTGCTGTCCGTGCATATGCACCAAACCGTGCTTCGGAGGACCCAGCAGTCTCACAAGCAGCTTCAGTCGTGTACCGCATTTCGTACACAGAAGCAACCCTACCCCGGATTAAAGATCATTTTCAGTTGGAGGATGATTGTTTCGGGAGTCAGCTGTCTTATTGGGGTGTTTTAATGCCCAAGTGGATGATGACAGTGTGAAGTGGAGGGGTGGCATGAGGAGAAATGATGGCCTGCCTGATCTGAATCTGTGTGCTGTTTAGTTGTTCATGACAGTGTTTGAGCGTAAAGGGTCCAAAAGTGCACATGAAACTAAAAGACCCTTAGCTGCAGGTCTGCGATTCTTTTTCTTAAGCAACCCGACAGCTGCAGGGCTTCAGGACATGATGGGAATTAAAGCAGAGTTCCTTGTGGCCTTGGATGTTGTGGTGCTATCTTAGCAGACACACCAGTGCAGCATTGCGTGGAGACTGGGATCAGTATCCTTGGACTTGCAAATCAGTAATGGGTTAAAGAAGGACCACGGGTAGTGTTCACACCATGTCTGTCCCAGGGTGAGAGAGTGCTAGAGAGGAGAATCTGACTTTTCTAGACAAACGTCTAAGCTTAAGCCTAATTTTCTAAACACCCGTCAAACCAGACGGAGAACACAAGCTTATGAATGGTCAGGATGCCACTTCCTTTAAATTTGTCAACATCACTGCCATTGCCCACTCAAAAAAAAAAGAGAGAGAGAGAGAGAGAGAGCCTACAATGTCTAGCGACAGCTTGAAGACTACCTCTTGGACTAACTCTGAAAATATCAGCGTTTTATTCACCAGTGACCGGAGGAGAAAAGAGATGCAGCAAGAGTTTTATTCATGGACAGAAATGACAAGAAACGAGTTTAGAGGTGGCAGTCACATGAACAAGTGGATGAGAATGGGTGTTAAAATGTCTCTGAAATAGAAAAAAACTCATTATAAACACAACTGTGAAGGATGGAGGGGATATGTGTTTCTGTTTCATCAAACTGGGACCTCCAACTGGCACTGTAGCATTTATAGTAGAAGAAGTCCTACACAGCTGGGATGAAGACTTCTGTCTGTGGTGAACCCCAGACTGGGAATGAGTTTCACCCCCAGGAGACCCAAGCAGAGATTAAATATTGAGCCGGCCTAAATGAGCTTCCCCTGCACCGTGACTCTGGGATGGGGAGGTAGAAACTCAGAGTAGAGCTGCAGCTGCTCCAGGTGCAATGGTCGGGTAAGGATGCCTTCCATGTGAGGTGTTTCAGACATGTCCCGCCAAGTGGAGGCCACAGGCCCGCTGGGGGAGAGGTTATAACCAACAGCACAACACATATTTTTACTTTCAAATGGATTTACAGTTTACAAGTTTACATTTCTATTTTGTTTTAGGAAACATTTATAAATGTTTGTTTGTTCTCAACAGAAGCAAATCACTCATTGCATTTATTCCAGATACGCGTTCTCTGCAAACAACCAGCCTACAATGGTTCCCATTCCTGACCCAAATGTTCCCTTTGGAACGGCCACCCAGATGAGCCGCAATGACATCACTAGACTCAACACACTGTACAAATGTTGAACAGTAAGGACAAAATGCGAATGCCTGTCTGTCAGTCTGTCTCTCTCTCTCTCTGTCTGTCTGTCTGTCTAAATGTTTCTGAATGTTTACAATATGGAAAACCACATGTATGCTTAATTTTTCTTGATAGTACGATTTCCATTCTTCACAGCTGGTTTCTAGCTACACATTAGTAATTTTAGTGCTAGACTGGTTCTGGTACACACATTCTTAACCACTGGGCTGCAGCCCACAGCTGGAACACCAGCTCCACCTAGAGGTCCCCAAGAAACCTCCACTCTTGTACCTGTGGGCCGTTTGATGAGGAAGGTTATCATTTACAGAAACCAGAGACATTACCAACGTACTTTAGATCAGGGGTAGGCAACTCCCTTCCCTGATGGCTGTCATCCAGCATGTTTTAGTTGTTTCCCTGCTCCAGCACACTTGAGTCATCCGTTCAGCTCATCGAGCTCCGCGGAAGCCTGTTAATCACTTGCTGATTAAAATCAGATGGGTTGAAGTAAATAAGTAAATCTACGTAATTAAAAGAAACACGATCATCTCCAAAGCCAGAAGCGTCGCCATGGTGGTGTTAGCGCGTTCCCGGGACTCTGCTGCCTTGCCGCCCCAACGCCGCAGATCTCAGATGGCTTCGTCTGGGCTATTAGCTTCGTAAGTAACGTTGCTTACGTCGTCATCTGTGGAGCTGGAAACAGGTTCATAGCACGGAGGTGCAGCTGGTCGTTTCACCGCATTCAAATGAGGATAACTGTTGTTAGCACCAGAGCTTAATTTCAGCCTGTCTTATTTTGAAAGGACGCGTTCCGGTAACTGCTTGCTAGAACCGGCAACTCTCATTTTAAGCTAACTCTTTAGCTAACAAGCCTTTAGTTTAGCACCAATGTTACATAACAGGAAAACCAAAGGCAGAAGTCAATCGTATGCAGTTTAGAACTTCCTTAGATTACCTTTTTAAAACATCCGCTGTGCTGCAGCGTGATTCTGAGCGGTTCTGGTTTGGTTCCGTGTGCCGTTTGCATCCGAAAATGTCCCTGTTTTGCTGAAGAAACGCAGAACCTCAGTGAGTACAGCCCACTGTGTGTGTGTGTTCGTCCGAGTTCAGCACAGTTGTCCCAGCCATGTCTCAGACGGTCCTTCAGTGAGACGGCAGCTTTTATTGGTTTTTTCCTGGGACAGCTTACATGTGGGGCCATGGCTCAGAGGTCGGCTGGTTCGTCGGGTCGACCCTTCTTCTTGCTTCTATAATCCGTGCACGTGCAGGGGCACGCAAACTAGTAAAGATTTTTTAAACAGTAGAATTACAGAAAGGTTGAGGCTGGCTTTTTGGGCCGTGTCACACATGAGTTTGTATTTTTCCCATTAGCTACTGTTAAAACTGTTGTGTTTTACCGTTTGACGAGTAGATGCTGGAGCACATCCTGGAGGAACGTCAGCTTGCTCTAAAGTATATTTGGTGTTTGTGTACTTATAATATTGCATATACCCTTTAAAGTCTTCCCTCACAGCTAGTCCTGAATGAACAATTCATGCAGTTTGTGTAGCTTCTGAAGTGAACCAGAATCAGGTTTGTTGCCATGTAGGAGAGAGAGTCGTCTACCAGGAGTTTGTTTCAGTGGCAAGGTACAAACATACACGAGTCAGGCAATAAGTAGATTAGTATTCACCAGAAATAATCAACCTAGAGAACATGGCAAGAAAAGCAATCGGTCATAAGCAGGAATGTCGGTGACTGGTGTAGATCTATGTGGTTAAAGTGGTTATTTGTTGTTCAGGAGTCTGACAGCAGAGGGGAAGAAAATGTTTTTGTGCCATGAAGTTCTAGTCTGTCAGGACCTGAACCTCCTCCCTGAGGGTAGAGTATCAAACAGACCATGACCAGGGTCAGAGGGGTCAGCTGCTATCCTGCCTACATTTAGTTTTCTCACCATCACCATCTTCTTTCAAAGGAAAATGATTGGAAGTGACTCCATATCGTATCACTGGACATAATATTTGAGTATTATTTATTGCTGTTACAAATACACATAACTAAATGTTGTTGGTAGCTTGAAGACACATTACATAGTAATACAGTGCACATGTAGTGGTGTGTAGTCTAAAAAAATGCAATTATTGCAACTTAATCAGTCAGTCTGCCAGATATCGAGGACATTAAATAGCGAAGGTTCTTTGGTGTCTTGAAGACTCGCTGCTCATCCGACAAACTCCTTGGATGAGAAGCGAAGCGTCTTCAAGAAGAAGATGTCCAGTTGTTTTAGTTTGAACCCTTTTGGATAAAAACTAAATACAGAGCGCTTGCCATCTCTTATATCAGGATGTGCAACCCTGGTCCTCGAGTGCCACTATGCAGCATATTTTAGTGGTTTCTCTGGTCAAAAACAGCAGCTGTTTAACAGGCTTCTGCAGAGCCTGAATGACGGCTGAAGCCTGTTGATCACTTTAGTAAAGTCAGGCATGTCAGAGCAGGGAAACAACTAAAATAGGCTGGACAGGGTTCGTCCAAGACTAGTGCTGCCTTCCCCGATCTGTGTGTATACTTGTTATTGTCATAATTACACTGACCTCTAGGGTTTGTGAGGGTTGTGGTTCTCAATTATTTTGTGTCTAGCCCCCCCCCCCCCCCAGCCCCCCCGGGAATAAAAAAAATGATCTGTCTTTAACATGTCTTTGCTTTCCAACAGGGTGCAGCAGTCCTAACAACATGCTGTATTTGTTCAAGATGTTGTCACAATGAGCCCACAATAAAACTGGATGTGAAACTCTTCAGATGTGTGCTGTTTTATGAACACTGCAGCACATTTTTTAATGAAATCCACTAAAATTAGAGAGTTGTAGTTCTGTCCATGGGGCTGAACTCTTCATCTGCTGATGTGAACCCGGGTTTAATGCCTGGTTGCAACAGAATTTTAGCCCTTACACTATGACTTTAGATGGGAAATCAGAAAGCATCAAGTTTTCATTTCTGCTCCATTTTCTCGTGGTGAAGAGAAAACTTGGTTCAAACAAAAGTCTCTGCTTATTGGTTCGTCTCCATTACAACCCTCCGCTATGAGCCATGATGTGGATCATGACCAAAACTGTGAGATGTTAGACACAAGCAGCCTGAAGGGTGGCTGTGGCCACCTTTGGAATGGTTAGGAACGTCATCATCCAGGAAAGGCTTGGAGTAGAGCCTCTGCTCTCCCGAATCAACAGGACTCAGCTGAGGCGAGCTCAGGCATCCGTTTAGGATACCTCCTGGTCACGTCCCAGTGGAGAATTTCCAGGCTTGTCCTACTGGAAGTGGACCTCTACATCTGGGCCAGTTCCGGCTAGGTGGTGTTGGTGCGGGTCCCACATGGAACGTGGAAACCTCCGAGCACATGGGCGGGTCAAAAGACCTGCAGAGAAGACTGGTGTCTCCCCTAATTTTGTAAACAAAGGCAAATTGACAACATTAAACACTTTATTTTTTGCGCTTTGTCATATTTGCACACTGTAGAATGATTGTCTCCAGATTGTTTGGAAGAGTCTTTCTAACCTGTCCCAGACTGAAACATCAGCTGTTTCTCCTCCTTGGCGTTAACACACACCTGTATACTCCAGATGAGTGCTAACCATTGACTTCTGCTAAGAGAAACATTTACATTGCAGCTCCAGACATCTCTTCACTCCTAATCCCAATGAAGTAGCAAGGGTGGACTTTGTTATGCCATCATGTATTTTGGTAAAAATTGTGTTTAATAATGATCCAAACTGTACAAGGCCATGTGTTTTTGTCTACCAGCTGGTAAAACAGCACATGTAAACCTTCCTAACAATGCAATTTGTTCTCACCTTTTACCATGACTGGATTTAAGTTGTACTTATGGAAAACGGTACTCCACTTAGCCTGCTGCTGGGGTTTCAAGTTACAACTCAGCTGATTTCACCTTGTTTAATATTTTCATGTTGAAAATGGTGTCCAATGAGTTCATCCGTCACAAGATGTTTTATCTAATTATGTCAGCAAATGTGGATTATGAAGCACTTTTTAGAATTTGTTTTCCGTCTTTTCAAATAGCAACAACCTAAAAGTTAAAAAAATATAAGATACTGTATAGAAGACTTAACAAACATGGGGTGTTTCTCAATGTCAAGGCGCCTGGCCTTGTGAGGCGATGTCTTGCGAGGCCAGGCACGTTGCTTATGAGGACACTGTCCTTCCTTGGTTAAAGAAAACGGTAAAATGGAACAGACTTGCATTACGTGACCGCGGTTTCCACGGTGGTCACCTAACGTCACGTGACACGCGAGATAACTTTATATTTTATACGTATTAGTTTCAGTATAAATATACAACGAGCCTTTTACTTTTTAATTGTGTATACATTTATTAAATTAAAAAATAAGTGAGTTACTACCCACTAGCCACCGAAGCTGCAACTAATAAGCAACTAACCAACAATAGATAACTTCTTTGGATCAAAAAAATACATTTTAAATTAGCTGACTTACTTTTAAACTTGAAAATTGTCCCCGAAGTAGCTGCCGGCTTCTGATCCGCCGTCTTTTTGAAAATACTGCGGTGTATTGCGGGTCATTTTTGACCAAGGTTAGGCTACAAGACACCTCCCGTGTATCCTTGCTCAGCTAGCTAAACGGCTAACAAACGGAGAACACACGCCTCGGTAGAACATGAACATTGGAACACATCTTGGCGGCTCCCAATGACGTATCTCCTAGGCAACCGGGGCGGGGCCAAGACATCAAGGCGAGGTTCCTTGGCATTGAGAAACACCCTCTGTCTCTAGAAACCTGCCGTCATTCAAGCTGAACTAAACATTTCAGTAAACTCAGCACTAGCAGCTCCAATTGCCAGCTAACAGGCTGAGAACGTGAGTATTTAAAGAAACTCCGACTACATCATCACATTATGTCCACATAACAAACTCACTTCACAAACACTTTTCCTAAACAACAACTGCAGAGTTCGTGTCTACTGAAAAAGAAACAGGAAGTCTCTGAACAACACCACAAATCAGGTCTGGAGACTTTTCTGCCTCCTGGACTCTAAAACCAATCAGTCCCTTTAGACCAGGTTTTTGAACCCTCACAACACAAAGTGGAGGTGTGTGGGGGGGAGGGATTCAGAGCGACGTCTCCAGACTGTGCAGGGGGCTTCCCGGACACGGCGGCAGCCCTGCTGAGTTGGGTGGGATTAAACCAGACCTCGAGTCATCTCTATGCAATGGTATGATGCGGTCCAAGGCGTTGTTGTTCTGGTTGGGTGAGGATGGGAGAGAGGGCAAGTTGGAGAGTCCAGTAAGAGGTGGAGGGATGACAGAGTTTCGTTTAGTGGGGGGCTCATCCTCATCCTCGTTCTCATCAATCAGAGGAATTTTAGTTTCTGAGTCGTCAATCCGAAACTCAGGGTGATTCATAAAGTTGTGAATGGAGCTGCGAGACTCGGGTGTCTCCAGACCTTCGTATGGAGACACGCTGTCTCTGAAGGCATTCACCACACGGATCTAAAAGACAAAAGAGAAACGTAACTCAGGACCCATGAAAGAGACATTTTAGTTAATTTACATCCAAGTCTTCTTCTGGTTTGTGTTCATTCTGACTTCAAATCTCAACTAAATTAAGTCCAGATTAAATGTCTGTCTCGCTTGGCTCATTTCTTTACTGACTCTGGTTCTTTTTAATGCTGGTTTGAAGTTTTTCTCTTAAAAAAGGGAGTTTTCATCTACAACACTGGAACAATACATCCTATATATGTAAAAATATAGTGTGGCCATGACCCACTGACAAGAGCTCAGTGGTGGGGCGGAATCTTCGGTTGTCTTTCGAAAGGTCTCCACATGAAATTAGACAGGGCTAGGACCACTTAGAGCAACAGACAACATGAAGGCTTCATTGCTACGGAAATCATTCAACGGGGCAGCCCGCCATACAGTCAGAGAAGAAGAAGCAAATACATATTTTTTGGAAATAAATGACAAAACCCTCCCACTATCCTATCGGGTGGCCCCTCCAGGAAAGGTGATGGTTGATGTTGATGGTTTATCCCTTGAGGCGCCACCTCTATTATGTTATTGGTTCACGTTTTTTATTACATTATGGCCAAGGTGTTACATTATTATTACATTTAAAAGGTCAAATTTGTTACATTTTTGGCCGTTATTATATTTTTGATTACAACGTGCTTGTCTAACCTCGAGTGGAAGGCCATTCTGCAGATTTGGGCCCTGCCTCCTCTAGTCGCACTACCCTGCAGGGACTTAAAAACAAAGACGCGTCTTAAATCATATTCTGAAGCAAATATGGGAGCCGATGTAAAGTAACCAGGGCAGGCGTGATATGATACCGCCTTCTGGTGCCTGTCGAGAATCTAGCTGCAGCCCTTTAGGCAAGCTGAATCCGGCCTAGTGCAGCCTGGCTTGCTGCTGAATAAAGGGAGTAGTCCAAGCACCCATGAAGACATGGTGTTGAGAACTGTGGTCTTTCATTTTTAAGCCACACCTGTGTTTGGATGCGGTTCAGGCCTCGGCACCAGAGCACCTGGCCCCTCCTGAGCTCCATCTCGGCATGATCGATCTCATCTTGATCCTTCATCTCCTCCAGCTCCTCCTCCGGGATCTCCTCCTGCTGTGTGCCGTGACCTGCAGTTTTCAGGAACTTGAGCCAGCTGGTTGGAATGCTGGACACCAGCTGGGAATGAACAACCATTACACACCAGTCAAAGACGACATCCTCACACCACCTGATCTGGTTGTTTTTCAAAGATGACAACAGGCTGCTGCTAAAAGACACTTTAGCACCACTCACTTCCCGTTTTTGTAATATAGTCTAGAAGGTTATTACGGGGTCTAGTAAAACATGACATGAGTCTCGCTAGAATGTCAAACGATGTTCTTGTAGTGGCCAGCAGCTCCATTTTCTCTGTTAGTTTTAAAATTAAAATTTGAACGTATTTCTTTTTCTTGACCTGTCCCCATAGAAGACTGCCAACTCCCAGGACGACACACCACAGCCACTGCTCAATCGTGAGGGATGCACAGCTGAATGGTTTACCCCCTAACTGCACAATCAACACCTGCAAGAGAAACAGAGCAGTGTCAGAGGAAGCTTTTATCTGAAAATCAAAAACCTGCCGGAAGGTTACCTGCACAACAAGCGTTCCCAGGATGATGGAGCAGAAGATGGGGTTGTTGAAAACGCCTTCAAAGACATTACGCTCTCCATGAATTTTACGTGCATTGAGCTCGTTGAAGATCTGCATGAGGACAAATGTGTTGAACACAATAGTGAAGTGCTCTGATGGCGGAGAGTGGAGAGGAGCGTTTCTGCCAGAGTCGATGTCTAATAGCCGTTCACCTGTGACAGAGAGAGAATGACGGCATGGGTGTGATCTGTTTCATTAACGTTGACTAAAGCATACCACCGGAATCTTTCAGGAAGAACACCATTTCAACAGCACTTCCTGATCTGTGGTTTCACTAAACAGCTCTATGGTCAGGCCTTGAGGACGCGGTGTTCTGACTCACCAACGAAGAGTAGAGTGAAGATCACTGTCATCTGGTAGATTGCATGTCCCAGAATGTTCTTCATCATAGTCCGGGAAATGAGCGGCTTCTTGCGGCCGTATGGGTTCCTGAGCAGCAGGGCCTCAGTGGGTGGCTCAGTGGCCAGAGCCAGAGAGGCGAAGGTGTCCATGATGAGGTTGACCCATAACATCTGCACGGCTTTTAGAGGAGAATCCTGGAAATAAACACAGAGAAACGTGGAACACAAGCAGCTAGTTCCATTCGATCTTTTTTCTTGGCGTTGTATGGAACGTAGTTTTAAACATCATAACTTTGATTGGAACGTAGATCAGACATTTTGGGTCTCAGCAATCATGAAAATGTCTGTGAAAAGCTGGAGGGACTGTTTAATAGATTTGGTGGCTGGGTCCATGCTAGCTGTAGACAGCTGACGTGTTGAAGTGAATCTGACCTGAATAATGCAAGCTCCAGTGAAGGCCACGGTGACAGCAACTACGTTGACCGTAAGCTGAAACTGTAGAAACTTTGAGATGCTGTCGTAGACGTTTCTGCCCCACATTACGGCCTTGACAATGCTGGTAAAATTGTCATCTGTCAGGATGATGTCAGACGCCTCCTTCGCTACATCCGTCCCTGCGATGCCCTGAAGATCACGGTGTACATTGAATCTATTATAAACCTCACATTTTCTTCACTGTTACCTATTGACTCTACAGAAATGTGTGCTTGGTGTAATCAGTGATGGAGGTTACCATAGCAAAGCCAACGTCTGCTTTTTTGAGGGCAGGACCATCATTTGTTCCGTCTCCTGTTACAGCGACGACCTGCCTCTGCTCCAGGACTGTGCTGTCAATGATACCTGAGAACACAGCGGACAGACAAAGGTGAGGGAAAGCAGATGTGGAAGGAGATCTTAGTTGAGCTTGCTCTGTGTGACCCTTCGATCTGACTGAGCCCCTACCTTTGACCAAAGTGTGTTTGTCCGTTGGGGATGATCGAGCCAGAACTCTCAGTTTGGGCCAAATCTTATCAATACGCTCCTGTTCAATCTGAAGAGCCAGTGAGATGCCAAATATATGTATTTGATTTGCAAGGAAGAGCTATGAACTTAACCTTAGCTTTACACAAATCTGTCTCCCGTTGTATCTGACCTCGCCCAGCTCGTTACGGATCCGACGATTGAACTCTTTTCCTTCCAAACACAAGAAGTCGTCTCCAGGATGAAGGATGCCACATTTGGTAGCGATGGCTCGGGCGGTATTGATATTGTCTCCGGTTACCATACGGACAGTAATCCCGGCATGCTGGCACTTTCTGATGGCTTCTGGAACCTGGTGGGAACAAAAAAGTCAAGCAAACCATAAGAAGAAATGGAGATAATTAAATTTATGAAGAACTAATGCATGCTTATAGATTACTTGCCGTCCCAGAATCAATAGGAATAATGAACACTAAGAATAATTTAGAAGATGCCAGCATGTAGCAACTGGCCGACTGAATCAGCTCTGCAATGGAATCTGGCGTTAACAAGGACGTAACCAAACCCAGAGACCCGTGCTTAATTTGTACATCAAACGTTCCCGGAACACAAATACTGATACTAAAGTTTGCTAAAGGCAAAGCAGATTCCGGAATTCGGGGGGGGGGGGGTTTCCCCCTGAATAAGCAAAGCAGCCTAGAATCCTTGTAAACATTGTGATTACAAAATAACACAACATCAGCCAATCCACAATGTCAGATATCTGTCGGTCATGGGGTTTTTAGCACCAGTAGTTTGACACGGCTATTTTTTTTTAACCAAAATAGTTATTTTTTGGGTAAAATCAATTGTTAGCCTAGAAAACATGCTAGCTTCATGCTAAACTTAGCATTATGTTACCGCCGAACCGAGGGTGGATTTTTCTGTTCAAAAGCAGTGAAAACTTTATTTTGGTTAACCCACTGATTTATGGAAGCACTTTTAGTTCTTTTTGCACTCTTTATTTTGACTGAATGTAATGTTTGTTGAATGTTAAATGTACTTCTAATAGTTTACTGTGTGAACGTTTACAAAAGTCCTTTTGTAAATGTTAATCCTGGTAACCCAGGTAGGGTTTTACCGATTTAAAGGATACATTTAAAAGAATAGCGTTGGTATAAAACCCATACTACTTGATGAGATTGTTGAGTTGTATGTATTCCATGTTATGCTTTGGAACAAAAAAACTTGAGGTATTTTGAGTTGAACTAAGAAGAAAACATGCATGTATTTTATTGCTGTTGTAATATAAGAACTGGAGATACAAAATTAAGCTATAGCTGTGAAAAGAAATAGAAATTGAGTTTTAGTTATGTACAATAATTTCATTATTATTGTGCAGGCTAAGTTTTTATCCTTGCCGATTAAGAACTGGATCGGATTCCTGGATTCTCTCCGGATGGAGATGGTGAGCCTTTGCCCAGAACCCAAAGACACTTTGATTGAAGACCCATCACTCTTCTCACCGAATGTGAACACCAAGTGGTAACAACTCAAACAACTCAAACCACTGAACCAGAAAGAACTGAAACTGAAAGACACTTTGACTTGACTAATGACTAAAAGGACAACTCAACTATTGAGTCCAAAATAAGACTGGGGTTTTATTTTGTTTATTTTTTGGGCCGGCTCAGAGTTGTTGATCTGAGTGTTGCATTGTTAAAACTGTATTCTCACTTCACATTTTTCTAACTAAATATTTTCTATTTTTGCTCATTTCCTGCCTCCTGCCGTTTCCTTTTGCACCCACCTTAGTTCCTATTGTAATCCTGCCGAGCCTAGCTGCTGGTCTATCTAAACATTCCTGATCTTAAGTTATCTAACTGCGTCCAGGGTTACATATGCATGAAATAAGCACAGATCTGTGCATTAGTGCAGTTTGTAAATGAGGCCCCAGGGCTGCTACCAGCAGTAACAGACTGATCTCCAAAAGCTACTAATAAAAGGTACTAACAAGTACACTAACGGCTTTTTTGATTCCTACAGCCCAGTATCTGAATGTGCTCTTTACTGGATACAAAACATACCTCAGGTCTTACAGGGTCCTCAATGCCAACCACAGCAATACATATGAGTCCAGCAAGAATTTCTGCTTCATTGTCCCAGTCAGGCTCTCCTTCAGTTGCGGGGAATTCTCTGTAGGCCAGGCAGATGGTCCTCAGCCCCTCTGATGCCATTGGTTCAATCACCTTCTTCACCAGCTCATCTCGATCCTTGGGTTTGAAAAACTTGGCCTCACCGCTTGCTGTCATGATCTTACAGCACCTGAAACCAGATGACATTCATGTGGTCCGTATCTGATGGAGCTCAGAGCTACCTCAGCAGAAGCAGTGAACCTACTTCTTCAGCAGAATCTCAGAAGCTCCTTTGCTGAACATTCGGTAGCTGCCATCACTGTTCTTCAGCACAGTGCTCATAGACTTCCTAACGGAGTTGAAGGTGTATACTTTAAAAAGTTTCTCTTCAGGGATTTCATTTCGAATGGCCTGGTAGTCTCGGTGAAGGTCAAGGCTGAATCCCAATAAGGCACATTCTGTCTTGTTTCCGACCTGGCGGGAAAGGCCCCCATCTCTCTCTGGTGGCTGCAGGAAGCAGAAAGAATATTTATTCACATCATGCAATCATAGCTTTAAGTGGGCCAGCATTGTATTTCTCAGTGTACCAGGCAGGTACTAGGACTTTCCTCTAAAGTATTGTGCATACTGATAATTCATCCAGCCAGTCATCAGTTGAAATCCCCAAAAATATGTCCGACTTCAGGAAAACAGACTGAACTAAATACACCCCCATAGCTATCTGAATAAAATGTCTATGATTTATGCTCACCATGATCTTGGTGGTGTAGGCACAATTGACCCCAATGCCAAGGGTGAGCAGGTCTAGGATCTTGGCAGGGATGAGGTCAGGCTCTGGCACCTTTTTGTATAGCTGCCCAGCGAAGTAGACCTGCACCACCGTCATTCGGTTCATGGTCAATGTTCCCGTCTTGTCAGAGCAGATGGCTGTTGCATTCCCCATTGTCTCACAAGCGTCCAGGTGACGTACCAAGTTGTTGTCCTTCATCATTTTCTGCCAAAAGATTAAATCAAACCCTGAGAAATATTTTTTGAGCTAGCTACACACATCTCTAAAATTAAGAAGGTCCAAGACTATTCTAAAGAGGCTGAAGTTGGGATCTTTCTGCATGGAGTTTGCATGTTCTCCCTGTGCATGTGTGGGTTCTCTCCGGGTGCTCCGGCTTCCTCCCACAGTCCAAAAACATGACTGTTAGGTTGATTGGTCTGTCTAAATTGTCCTTAGGCGTGAGTGTGTGTGCATGATTGTTTGTCCTGTGTGTCTCTGTGTTGCCCTGCGATGGACTGGCTCTCTGTCCAGGGTGTACTCCGCCTGATTGCCCATTGACCGCTGGAGATAGGCACCATCCCCCATCCCCCCCCCCACCCCCACCCCCCCCCCACCCCCCGCGACCCTGCGTGGACAAAAGCGGGTTCAGAAAATGGATGGATGGATGGGTTTCTGTCATCTGACACCTGTACAATTCCATTCACGCACTGTGGTCCTGTCCACCTGTCCAGGAATTTTGGGGTAGAGTATGTGAAGACCTGTCAAAGTGTCTGAAATGCCATATCCCAACTTCCCCCACTCTTTGTTTACTGGGAAACCTGGACGATGTCCCAATTGAAACATCTTTGGTTCACATGGTTCTGACTGCCATATGCATCGCTAAGAAAACTATCCTCATGAATTGGAAACATAGAGATACTCTTTGCATTAACCAGTATAGAAATCTTTATTAGATCATATAACACTTGATACAGCCTCTGCTTCCACTTCAAATCAATCTCTCTGGGCTCCTTTGTATGGTTCCATCACATAGCGAAGATGGGGGGTCATTGATATTGTCCTGCGGGATGATGTGGGTGATGGGGTGGAGGGTCTGACAGGGGTGGACATTAACTTCAAAACAAACCGGCCAGCCGGGCCGGTAACTCTGAATGTTTACCGGCCCCGCCAAGAATCTACCGGCCCCGCTGGTCAGCTGCCAAAGCGAGTCAAAATAACAACTGAACCATTTTAAATGTAATAAACCTTTATTTTGTACACATTCACAAACATAATAACGTATTCAAGTTTGAATTTGTTTGTTCCCTCAACAAAACTCGATTTTGTCGTCACATACTTCTGGCATACAACACAGTACATCACCAACTCCGCTTTGCTGTACTCGAGCCATTGGCTGTGTTCGAGATAACCCAGTTCTGCGCAGATTAGACCAGTGGTGATCGGCGAGCAGTTCATGCTGGTTAGATTTGTGTCCGACTTGACGCCGACTTGCTCTGACGTCATGCATACGTAGGCAACGATAACCTCGTGAGATCAAGGCGGCCACAGATTTTGGAGCAAGGTGCTGCAGTTGCTCTCCACCGGCTGCAAAACCTAGGGCATGACGGGAAACACCAGGCTCTCATCTGATCTAAGATCTGATTGGTTCATATTTTGATCCAAACATCCGGTGATAGAACATGAAATGTTAGTTGGTCACATGTATTCTGTGAATCATGTTATGTTGATGATGACAACTATATAGGCCATAAAGAGAAATGTGTTTTGTGTTCTTTTGTCGCGTTTCCTATGAGCACACTAAATCTACAGCTGATAACCTTTAGTTATTATTACAGTCATGATTTCATATAGAATATATGATATCCACAAGCACGTGAGGATGTGTTTCAGCTGCTAACAGGCACCAGAATTAATATTGAAAATTGAACAAGTGTGAACGCTAACGCGATATCTTCGGCCGTCATCACCCCCGAGCTACACATGCAGGGAAATCTGTCCGGCTTTCAGCCACTCCCCCTGCTGCGTCCGTCTGCTCTCGTCTGTTTTCCAGGTGAGCCGCTGCTCAACTCGAACACGGCCATTCTCTGTGCCTCCCGTCTTCTTTAAACCGCCAAGAATCATTCCACCTATGCACACGCTTCTCTGCTTCCTACTGTTTCGAACTGTCTCGCTTCTCCTCACCAGTTTTAAAGCGTTTTGCCGGAGATTTCATCAAGAAATCCCATCCCTGAATTGGCTTCCGGCTGAGGATGGAGTAGGACGCAAGTCTAAGAGCTCCCGCCGACTTGGACTAAATTGTTATTAATTTGCGCTTTTTTTGACCATATTTCTTGTCCTAATTTTGATTTTTGAATTATTTTGTTGAGACGTTTTAATCGGCTCGGCATAAAATGGCAGCAAAAAATGTTAAAACCTGCAATACTACTCAAACACAACTGAAGCTTGGTTTGCAAACTGCGGCCACACCCTCAAGTGAGCCGTCGTCTCCTGCAAAGTTTCCCTTGTGCCAAGCTAATCCTGATATCGAGGCTCTCAAGGTTGAGTTGCTTGCTTCGTTGAGGAATGATATTGCTGACATTTTTAAAAAGGAACTTCAGGACTCTCTGTGTGATGCTTTGTCCACCATTAAGTTCGACCTGCAGGCGGTGAAGACGCAGCTGGCGATCGATAAAGCTGCCAATGACTCTACCATGTCCGAGCTAAAAGGTACGGTCAAGGAGATGGAGCATGCACTGACTGACTGCTCTGATGATGTTGCTGAGATGAAAAATACTATCAAGAGCCTCACTGCTCATGTAGCCAAGCTGGAGAACAAGTGTGAAGACTTGGAGTCCAGGTCGCGGCGCAGCAATGTTAGGATATTAGGAGTACCATAGGGCCCTGACACGTCCACCACTGCTGCCGTAGCCTCCTTGCTAAAAGAAGCATTCGACCTGGGGAAGGAGCTGCTTTTGGATCGTTCACACAGGACCCTCCAGCCTGCACCTAAACCTGGCGACCGTCCACGAGCTATTGTATGCAGGTTTCACTTCCACACTGACTGTGTTGACATTTTACGACGTGCTAGAGAACGCCGACAGATTAAAGTTGGAGACCAAACCATCTCAGTCTTCCCCGACTACACCGTCAGGATGGCACAGGCTCGTGCTGCATTCAACACGGTCAGGCAGCAACACTGTGGCATTGAAGGCGTCCGGTACGGCCTGCTTCATCCAGGACGACTCCACATCACATATAAGGGTGTCGAGAGGGACATTGTCTCAGCAGAGGAGGCCAGTGATTATGTTAAAACTTTGATCACTGGGTGAGCCTCGATAGCCCCTTAGTTTGATGCTGTAATGTAATTAAGTGCTCACGCTCTCGTTAGGTTTAACGCCACCTGTGCATTGTTTTCTTAGACCGCTGTGCCAGTTATTATACTGTTGGTGTGCTGGTTCCTTTTATTTTCATTGTTAACTAATGATACTGAATTATATGTTATACTCTAGAGTTCATAGGACTAGGTGGTATGTTGTTGAGCGCACACTGTTATACTGTAGGGAAGTTGGTGAGAGGTTGTGGTTTTTTTTCTCTCTCTCTCTTGTTCCCTCTCTCGCCTTTATTTTGTATTTAGACGCCAGTTAGTCCAATCACTTCTGTGAACCATTTTTGCTACTTTGGGGTACACTGCTGTCTCCTTTGTTTCGTTTTGTGGAGACTTGGGGTGTGTTTGTGTTGGGGGGGGGGGGGGGGGGGGGGGTTGGGGGGGGGGCTGTTCCATTTGGCTCTTCATGGCCACCTGCATCTTGGTTTTGTCTTTTTCTTTCTCCTTTTTATGAATGGTTAATGGTAATATAGACCCCAGCATTGCTGGGTCAGGTATGCCTCTTAGGTTTATTAGTTGGAATATCAGAGGTATGGGTAACCCTGTTAAGAGATCTAAGGTTTTTACTCACTTGAAACGTCTGAATTCTGACATAGCATTTTTACAGGAGACTCATCTCCGTATTAAGGATCAACATAGGTTATATTGTCCTTGGGTAGGTCAGGTTTTTCATTCAAATTTTAATTCGAAAGCTAGAGGAGTGGCCATTCTCATCAATAAGAAAGTCCAATTCTCTTCTACCAATGTTATCACTGACGGGAACGGTAGATACATCATTGTTGCTGGCACCCTAATGCAGAATAAGGTTTTGTTGGTAAACTTATATGCCCCGAATTTTGATGATGCTGAATTCGCTAATAGATTACTAAGTAACATCCCCTTTCTGAATACATATTTGCTTATTTATGGTGGTGATCTGAATTGTGTTTTTGTTCCAAGCTTGGATCGTTCTGGTCCTCGTAAATTGACTCCATCATCTATGTCTAAAACATTTTCAGATTTTATGATACAGAATGACCTTGCTGATCCATGGAGACTTCGCAACCCTACAATAAAAAATTTTCGTTTTTCTCCCAGGTCCACCAATCTTATTCCAGGATTGATTATTTTTTCAGCGACAGAACTCTCAATTCATGTGTTACTAATTCTGACTATTCTGGTATTGTAATATCTGATCACTCTCCTCTGCTATTAGATGTTCAACTCTCTACCTATAAACGTAGTCCTCCACTTAGGAGATTTAATTCTCTCCTTTTGGCTGATAAAGAATGTTGTGAATGTATTTCAAGCTCTATTGAGGAGTTCTTGTTCTTTAATCGGGATGATTCTGTTTCATATTCTCTGCTGTGGGAGACTCTTAAATGCTATTTGAGAGGTCAAATTATCTCTTATTCTGTATGTGCTAATAAAAAGATCAATGCCAGGCTTAAAGAACTTACGGTGGCAATTAGTAAAAAAGAGTAAAAATAGTTTATTATAAATGATTTTTCTGGAGCGTGATAAAATTCTTGTCTTGTTGTAGAGGCAAAGGAAGTCAAGATATGGTAAGGCATTTCAGATTAAAGATGGTTTACAGCAGACTTTGCGTCTCCTGTAATGAATAATCTGTAGATATAAGTGCAGCCAGGACAGCTTGACCCAGCTGAGGAAGTGTGACCTTTGGGTCACAAATGAGGCCATTCATGTTGCTACAATAGCATGGTATGGTATGGTGTGGTGTAGTGTGGTATAGTATGGTTTTGTATGGTATGGTATGGTATGGTGTGGTATGGTGTGGTGTGGTGTGGTGTGGTGTGGTATGGTGTGGAATGGTATGGTGCGGTATGGTATGGTATGGTATGGTATGGTGTGGTATGGTATGGTGCGGTATGGTATGGTATGGTGTTGTACGGTATGGTGTGGTGTGGTATGGTATGGTATGGTATGGTATGGTGTGGTGTGGTGTGGTGAGGTGTGGTATGGTATGGTATGGTATGGTATGGTATGGCTTGGTGAGGTATGGTGTGGTATGGTATGGTATGATATGGTATGGTGTGGTGTGGTATGATGTGGTATGGTGTGGTATGGTATGGTATGGTATGATGTGGTATGGTGTGGTATGGTATGGTATGGTATGGTATGGTTTGGTGTGGTATGGTGTGGTATGGTATGGTATGGTATGGTTTGGTGTGGTATGGTATGGTATGGTATGGTGTGGTATGGTGCGGAATGGTATGGTGTGGTATGGTATGGTGCGGTGCGGTATGGTATGGTATGGTGTGGTATGGTATGGTGTGGTATGGTGCGGTATGGTATGGTGTTGTACGGTATGGTGTGGTGTGGTATGGTATGGTGTGGTGAGGTGTGGTATGGTATGGTATGGTGTGGTGTGGTGTGGTGTGGTATGGTATGGTATGGTTTGGTGTGGTATGGTGTGGTATGGTATGGTATGGTGTGGTGTGGTGTGGTGTGGTATGGTATGGTATGATGTGGTATGGTGTGGTATGGTATGGTATGGTATGATGTGGTATGGTGTGGTATGGTATGGTATGGTTTGGTGTGGTATGGTGTGGTATGGTATGGTATGGTTTGGTGTGGTATGGTATGGTATGGTGTGGTATGGTGCGGTATGGTATGGTATAGAACGGGGTCGGCAACCCGTGGCTGTGGACCCGCATTTGGCTCTTTCATCCATCTGATGCGGCTCTCTGCTTGTAAAATAATGAATATTTAATTAAAATGTATTTTATTTTACTGCATTCATTGTTTATCTGTATGCCAATTATACATGTAAAGATTGTCATTTTTTTAAATCTAAACAAAAAGGATAAAGACCTGAAATGACAGGTCACCTGCTTGCGCGTAATCAGATGTCTCTAAAGGAGCTTTCTGAGCTGAAGAGGAAATGAGATTCTGGACCTTTCCTCAGACAGGTTCATGGATGTGTCGCCACATTGGAGACAGGAACAAGTGCTATTCAGCCAAAGTTTCATAATCAGGAACATTTTCTAAGAGACAAGTCTCTCTGAGATACAGGGTTTGGAAAACACTTGCTTCAGTAGGAGGAATCTTCCCGCGTGGCTCTGATTCTGCTGCTGCCTATGACCAACGTGCTCCTAGCCCCTCTCCACATCTTCAGCTCACTGTCCACCTTACATGTGCGATGACAGCGATCTGCACTGAGCACAGTGTATAATGCTCAGATGTTCTGATGGGAATGGTTAAAATGTCAACGCATCTGCATGCGTCAGGATAATTCTTTCAAAATGACCAGTGTTTTCTTTACTGTGGGAAATGGCTAATTATAGCTCTTTGATTGGAAAATGTTGCTGACCCTGGTATAGACATACCACAAATCAAGAGCCATGGATTAAGAAATCTGTGTCGAGTTTAGCTTGGCATGCTGTGCAATGTAGTATGTAGATACAAGTATGGTATGTATATGACAATAGAATCATACCTTTACTGAATATGCAAGAGAGATGGTGACAGCCAGGGGTAGACCTTCAGGCACGGCCACCACTAGCACCGTCACACCAATGATGAAGAACTTGACCAGCAATTGCACATACATAGGAACACACTCTGCAGTCCAAGGAAGGCCCTGAATCCAAAAGGTATCGATCAGGAAGCGATTGATGAGAATGACGACTGTGAGGGTTGACATGAACAGCCCTGGAAACAGAATAAATATGCTGGTGTTGATTCTCACTTATTCAGGGTGTGGAAGTATTTAGAGTTTAAATAAATGGTATTTCTAGAAGATGCGTCCCCTGCCATCTAAAAGCCTTCTCTTCTGTCCTTTGAGATGGTTACACTGAAAGTGTGAATGGTGCAAATATGGTCCTGGACCCAGAAAACCTCTGGTTTTACATTTGGGGAAAATGGACACAGGAAGTAACCTATAAGAAGAAGGAAGAAAGGTTGGAGCTTAGAAGCACCTGAAATACAGACGTGCCTATCTATGGCCTTTCAAAGTTATTTGGCTGCCAAAGACAACATAGACAAACCAATACTTTTGGAAGTACAATTCAAGCTACTTTGTGTCAGTAGCTGCTTTCCATGACTTGTTTTGAATTATTCCCTGTTCCTTTGGTTAACGGTGCAGTTATTAAGAACAACATACTGTGGTCAAATGTAGTTACTGCAGGCCATTTTTCAAAGCAGAACATTACTTTATCACTAATGCTCTGTGAGTTTCATGGCTGTTCACGGATCAGCGCAAGAAGGTTCTAGATGACAAGCGAAGTTGGATCATACACACAAAGTTGATAGTAGCGTGTAAATATGTGTGTGCATGGGTGAATTACTGTTTGTGTTATAAGGTGGAACAGAAGGTTCCCAAAACAAGAGAAATTTGCTCTGGAGAATACTTCTTTTACTTATTTCTCCACAAGAAACCAACAGTAAGGCATAACAACAAGGAAAGTACAGAATAACTTACAGTGGAAGTCACAACAACCTCTTTTAGTTCTGCTTTCTGATTTTTATTAAACTATTTTGCCTTATTTGAATGCAGTTTATTATTCTCTAAGAGGGTACAACCCCGGTGTGCAGCGTCCATGAAATCATCAGACCCCAGGAATATTCAGTAATAATCTAGTTTGCCTTGCTTATTAAAATTGTAGAATTGTGACAAACATTTTTATATTTGTTGAGCTGACACTGCATTTGCTTTTAGCGACACAGAGCAGAAGAGCTCAGTGTTGACATGACTGAAGATGTGAATGAAACCTACCTTTATGTCGTCCTTGATTCCTCCACGATGTGAACATTAATATGATTCATTAAAGGACATTGTTGTCCATTGGTGTGGCCAGTAATTTTCTAGGGAGTGCCCCGGCTACCCCTTGGGGGCGCCACTGATGGGTAGATTCTATATTTGTACCTGCTTTGCCAATCTGTACAGCCAGCTTGGTCAGCTTCCCCTGCAGGACGGATTTCTCTTTCTTTGGTAGCTTTTTTTTCTTCTTTTCAGGTTCTCCGTCCTCTTTGAGTGGCTGCATCTCCACATTGGCCCCGTCTTTCTTTTCCCCTGGAACAAAGAGAAATAAATTGGCTAAATATTAAAATGTCTGTAATGCTTCAGAAACCAAATCTATGTTTATTTTTGTATGTTTCCTAAAAAAATCCTAAACAGCATTAAAGAACCATTTCTCAGGCGTTTGTTAAAGAGGGCCTTCACTCATATTTTTAATACATTTGCAGTGGTCTCAAGTAGTGGTCCCATGCTAGAAAAGCTATATAGGAAAACTGGCCTCACTATTCATAAGGACTAATACACGGCTCAGATTTCTCTCTATAAGGACTCCATAGTATTCCGGTCTTATCGGCTCCAACACTGACAATACTAAGATACTGTTTTCCATCTATAATAAGATCTTTCGGCTGGCGCAGTGGTTAGAGCTGTTGCCTTGCAGCAAGAAGGTCCTGGGTTCGCTTCCTGGCCTGGGATCTTTCTGCATGGAGTTTGCATGTTCTCCCTGTCCATGCCTGGGTTCTCTCCGGGTACTCTGGCTTCCTCCCACAGTCCAAAAACATGACTGTTAGGTTTATTGGTCTGTCTAAATTGTCCTTAGGTGTGTGTGTGGATGATTGTTTGTCCTGTGTTTCTCTGTATTGCCCTGCGATGGACTGGCTCTCTGTCCAGGGTGTACCCCGCCTGATTGCCCATTGACCGCTGGAGATAGGCACCAGCAGATTTGCAACGTTAAAACCTACCTGGTTACCCCAAGTATGTATTTCATGAGCATTTTTTAACTCAGAAGTTCCCCTGAAGGACTTAGTTGTTCGTCCTTTTATCAAAACTTCTTTTGAGTCTGAGAGGGTTAACCTCAGAATGAACGATCATATTTGAAGCATAACAAGTAGAGTCATCCAGAAACTCGCGTAGATTACTTAATTTGATAGATTTCTCTTACAGTAGAAACATAGAAACTAGTATATTATCTCTAGATGCAGAAAAGGCTTTTGATAGAGTCAACTGGAAGATCTTATTTGCAACTTTACATAAATTTGGGTTTGGGAACTTCTTCATAAACTGGCTACAAACATTATACAGTTCACCAACAGCACGTGTCAGGACGAACGACCAAATATCAGCTAGCTTCTGTCTTCACAGGGGGACCAGGCAGGGATGCCCACTCTCCCCCTCACTGTTTGCTATCTTTATTGAACCACTAGCAGCAGCAATTGGGCATACAACAGGTATTAAAGGGATAAAGTGTAAGAAAATAGAACATAAGATAAGTCTTTATGCAAATGATGTTTTACTCTTTCTCCGGAATTCTCAATCATCTCTCTCTCATTCAATAGAACTGATAAACTCTTTTTCAGAAGTTTCAGATTACTCTTTAAACAGGTTAAAATCCACAGTTCTACCATTTAATTTCTCTTTTGTCAATTTACTTAACACACAATTGGATTCAGGGAATATCACATACCTGGGAATTAATGTCTCTCCCAAGTTAGCAGATCTAACCAAACTAAACTACATTCCACTTTTAAAGAAAGTGGAAGATGATCTTGCAAGATGGAAATCCTTACCAATATCACTCATGGGGAGAGTTGCTACAATTAAAATGATGGTCTTACCCAGAATAAATTACTTATTTTCAATGATCCTAAACAAACCACCAGCTGACTGGTTTAGATCTCTGGACTCCTCAATTACCAAAATTTCTTTGGCAGGATAAACCTCCACGAATTAGCTTAAAAACTCTTCAGAAGACCAATGACAGAGGAGGACTGGATTTACCCAACTTTTATTATTATTTCTTAGCCAACAGGCTGCAATATATACAGAGATGGTTGCAAGATAACCCACTAGATGAGTCCTGGGTAGATATAGAACAGACACTTTGCAATACGATAGAGCTTTCAGACTTACCATTTATTAGCTCAAGCATAAGAAAACATGAAGGCTTCAAAAGTATTAGTGTCAGTACCTATCTGACAGCATGGTGGGAGTATCTTAAAATGACAGAGTCTTCGCTAGTATCATGCAGACGCACACCTATCTGGAATAATCCTGATATTTTGCAAAATAATAAAATGATGAACCTTCCGGACTGGAAAAATAAAGGAATCCTATACCTGGAACACATATATGAAGGATTGGACTTCATCCAATTTAATAGAATAGTGTCCCATTTTGGAATAGATAACAATAGCTTTTTAGAATACCACCAAATTAAATCTGTAGTCAAACAAAAATTTAAGCTCAATAAAATAGAATTACAAACACCACCAAGGGTATTAGACTTCTATAATCTCAAACCCCCAAACTACTGTCTAAAGTAACTGACCAAAATACACGATAGAATAGCAATCCCTATTGAAAAATGGGAGGTGGATCTATCAGTCAGCTTTGACCAGAACTTCTGGTCCCAAACTTGTTTAAAAACTTTTAAAATTATCAGACACTCCAATTTACTATTAATTCAGTACAAAATTCTACACAGAGTACACTATACAGGTCACTGGATGTTCAAGATGGGGTTTGTGTCGTCTGACACCTGTACACACTGCACAAACAACATTCCTGACAAATACATTCACACACTGTGGTCCTGTCCACCTGTCCAGGAATTTTGGGGTAGAGTATGTGAAGACCTGCCAAAGTCTCTGAAATGTCATATCCCAACCACCCCCTCTCTTTGTTTACTGGGAAACCTGGACGATGTCCCGATTGAAACATCTTTGGTTCACGTGGTTCTGATTGCCATATGCATCGCTAAGAAAACTATCCTCTTGAATTGGAAAAATAGAGAAACTCTCTGCATTAACCAGTATAGAAATCTTTTGTTAGATCATATTACACTTGATTTAGCCTCTGCTTCCACTTCAAATCAATCTCTCTGGGCTCCTTTGATCGGTTCCATCACATGGCGATGATGGGGGACCATTGATTTTGTCCTGCGGGATGATGTGGGTGGGGGGGTGGAGGGTCTGAGTCTGGAGTATCCGGATGTTCCCTGGGGGTGGGTTCACAGGGGATGTCTGGGACTGGGGGGCCATTGCCCCCCTCTGGAGGTGCTTGGGTTGCCTCGGGGGGTGGACTACTGGTGGTTGTGAGTGGGGACCCTTGGAGGTCTTGGCGGCGGCCATGGGCCACTGCCTGGCAGCTGCATTGCCTCTGTGCGGGTCTGGGTGGGGGCCTGGGGGCTCGGGGTGTTGGGGTGGCCGGCCCCGTGTGGGGATCTGGGCGGGTCCTTGGGGGTCGGGTCCTGACATGTATGCTGCTGGGAAGAAGGCAGGAACATGCAGCAGTGCCTGGCCCAGGTTCAGGGGCCTCGGGTAGACCTTGGCTCCTCTGCTGTCCCATCACAGGGGACGGGGAGGTCCAGGAGGGGGAGGACCCAACCTTACCTGGATGTCCTATGTCTTATATATTCTGGAAGTTCTGCAAATGCAGGGATGGGCAGAGATATTCTGCTGGCGTGGGGCTGGGTTGGTGCCCTCGTGCTCCATGGGGCTCTGTAATGCTGCTGCTTTGGGCCCTGGCAGGATGGGCTGGGATCTCCATGCCCTGGGTGGCGGTTTGACAACAGAGGTGCTAAGCCCAACCAGCCATTCCTCCCCATCCCTGCATATTTCTCTCCTCCTGCTCCCTGACATCATCACACAAACATGCACATAGGACCTTGGGGGGTGGACAAGTCAGGGAGTGCGGGTATGGACCCCATTTCCGCATTCCTGTGGCAGCCTGCCCCCCAATTTTATTTGCACCTTATACACTTCCACCGACGACATTCCACACAAACACACATTTAGGGCCTTGGGAGTGAACACATTCAACGGCACTTGGCAGGGAGATTTCTCATCCTCCTCCCGAGTGCTGGTGCCCACTTCCAATTTTAAACTGCACTTAGACACCGAGGGCTGTGGGTGCAAGTGGGGTGGTGCGGTGGCATCAGCTGGCATAGGCCAGGCAATGCCCGCACTGCCCGCTCACCACAGCCATGGAATACACCTCATCAACACACAACACTATATTGGAGCAGGTGGGGGGAGACTAGGGGTCTTAGCACACCTCTGTTGTTGCTTGGCTTCCTGGGGCTGGAGGCTAGGAGGGAGATCTGGCCATCTGATTGGGGTCTGGGGTGGTGGGTTGCTGTGCTCAGCGTTGGGCGGGGGAGCCTGCTCATCAGCACCCCAGCAGAAAGGGTCAAACTCTGGTAACTGGTGATGGTTGTAACCCATGTGCAGCAGTACCGGGACCAGAGTGAATAGGGTGTGTATGGGGAGCACGAGTGGGTGTCCGGCGTGCATTTTTGTAAGTCTTTGGTTGTATATGCATGTGTGAACATGAAGGAGGGAGTGTGTGACTGTGTTTGTGTATGACTGTATATGTCAGGTGGGGCCTTTGACTCCTCCCCTCTCCTGGGACTTCTTTTGATGATATAGATCTTCGTCTCCCCTCCCCATGCCACACCTGGTGTGGGGTGTGGTGCCTTGGTCTGCTTGAGTGTTCGTGGCTCCCGGGTCAGGGGGTTTAAGATTTTTGGCGTCTGCCTGATCAATCCCGGTGGCGGCCTGGTGGGGTCTGGGTCCCTGGACTCTGCTGGGTCCCCGGCGGGGGTGGTCGCCCCTGGGTCCCGGGTTGCTGGGTCCTGGGCTCAGCCGGCTAGGGGGTGGGAGGCTGCGAGCGGGCCTGTGGGCTTGCCGCTGATATCTCCCGGGACTCTGCCGGCTGCTGGTTTTTGGCCCCCCGGGACGATCCTCTGTGCCTCTCGAGGGGGGCGGGGGCCTTTCTGGTTGCAGTCTCCTTGGGGTTCCTGTGTTCTGGGGCAGCGCCTGGATCTCTGGGACTTGGAGCTCCCCCATCTCTTACGCATCTTTGGGGGGCAGATCTGTGGTCCCTCACACTCTCTATTGGACGCTCCTATAGAGAAACCTTACATAAACAAGCGCGTGTACACACACAGGTGCTCACATGGTGCTCTCAAAAGTATGGGCTTGGGCACGTTCAACACATGTCTTAAGAGTATGGTGGGCACTTAATGCACTGTGATTTATTATCGTGTGATTGTT